CAACGAGGCTTAAATTGGTTTAGCTCTAATTCCTTTTTCCGCCAGGAGCCCAGGACCTGAGGGAAAAGTGGGTTTTCAATAGCTTCATCGTGTGGGTCACTCCTGAGACTGCAGGAAAGAGATTGGCAGGGTTTCGGGTGTTAATTAGAGCCTCTGGAATTGAGGAAGCCAGATGGAGTGGACACCTGCAGAAAATGGTCACCGTGTGCCAGAAGGAAGATATATCTCCACTTTTGGTGGACCTTCCGATATGTACTTGATCACCACGGTTGAACCATCTTTCCTTTTTTGTGTGTGGGAAAGTCCTGTTTTCAAGACAGCACAGGAGAAGAACCTGCTGATATGGGCACTGAATCACCATCTTCTATTCTTCTTCTCCTCCCTTCTCTCTTCCTCCTCCTCCTCCTCCTCCTCCTCCTCCTTTTTCTCCATTATTATGAAAAAATATATCCTCCTTATTCTTCTCCTTGAGGGATCTTTGGTGCTCTCTGAGACGTAGGCAAGCACTGATGATGTTACCTAGTTTGGGTAATGAAATGTCTGCAAGAAACAAGCAAGCTCAGAGAGTCCCTAGGACTCCATAGTCCGTCTTTCCTTCCTTCCTTCCTTCCTTCCTTCCTTCCTTCCTTCCTTCCTTCCTTCCTTCCTTCCTTCCTTCCCTCCCTTCCTCCCTCCCTCCCTCCCTCCCTCCTCTTTATAAATGCAACTCGCTTCTAGCATTGATGATGTTACCTAGTTTGGGTAATGAAATGTCTGCAAGAAACAAGCAAGCTGAGAGAGTTCCTAGGACCCCATAGTCAGACCTTCCTTCCTTCCTTCCTTTCTTCCCTCCCTCCCTCCTTCCTCTCTATAAATTCAACTCCCTTCTATCACTGATGATGTTACCTAGTTTGGGTAATGAAATGTCTGCAAAGAAATCAAGCAAGCTCAGAGAGTACCTAGGACCCCATAGTCAGACCTTCCTTCCTTCCTTCCTTCCTTNCCCTCCCTCCCTCCCTCCCTCCCTCCTCTCTATAAATTCCACTCTCTTCTAGCACTGATGATGTTACCTAGTTTGGGTAATGAAATGTCTGCAAAGAAAACAAGCAAGCTCATTTCAGCCCTGAGTGACCAATATTTTCCTTCGTTGGTACCTTCTCCTCCTCTCCCTTCCCCCCCTCCTCGCTTTCTCCTTTTCCTTGTTCCTGAACCATTTCTGCAATTAAAGAAAGGCCAGGGATGATATTTTACTTTGAACTAATTTTATTCCAGCTAGTTAAAAGAACGTATTTTCAACCGTCAGTTATGATTAGAGCTTGGGGATTTCTCCAATTCTTGCGGAAGCATGAAAGCGTTACCAAACCAAGGCAGGGACAATCCAGGGCTGAGATAGACATTACCCCAAGTGTAGGGAAGGGACTTTTGAAGAGATGCTCTGGGTCTCACTTACACACAACGGCGCAATTCTTTCTTAGCATCCCTGAGAAAGTGAGGTTTAAAGGACCGCCCGTCCCAAAACCCATCAGAAAACTACTCCCTGCAACTATATTCCAGGGACGTGGTTTTAGCAATTTTCCTTTCAACAGTATTTCTTACCAAATTGCAAGGTAGTGATTCTTTCTTTCTTTCTTTCTTTCTTTCTTTCTTTCTTTCTTTCTTTCTTTCTTTCTTTCTTTCTTTCTTTCTTTCTTTCTTTCTTTCTTTCTTTCCTTCCTTCCTTCCTTCCTTCCTTCCTTCCTTCTTTCTTTCCTTCCTTCCTTCTTTCCTTCTTTCTTTCTCTTCCTTCCTTCCTTCTTTCCTTCCTTCTTTCTTTCTTTCCTTCCTTCCTTCCTTCTTTTTTTCTTTCTTTCCTTCCTTCTTTCTTTCCTTCTTTCTTTCTTTTCTTCCTTCTTTTCTTCCTTCTTTCTTTCTTTCTTTCTTTCTTTCTTTCCTTCCTTCCTTCTTTCTTTCTTTCTTTCTTTCTTTCTATCTTTCCTATAGGTTTTGCCTTTTTTTCTTGTTCTTTTCCCTTTTCTGCACAATTTAGCTTGCCGAGCAGGAGTGACCTGCTTAAGTAAATTATATATAAGACCTGAAAATTGAGGTGCCCTAAAATATTAATTTCTTTCCATGGTAGCACTATCTTCTGAATCAACAGCCTCTCTGTCCCCCACCCCCCCACCCTCCAATCTCCAACTGAAAAAAAGAGCTGGGTCAGGTCTTTGCTTAGTCCACCATTCATGTCCTATTTTGCACACTGTAGACCTCAGCAATGGGCAGCTAAAGCCATGGTGGAACCAAAGACCTGCTCCTTTGCAGACAACCCATATAACTAGGGCAGATAAAAACCCTGCCATTTACACACCCTGATCTCGGTTAGTGTGAAAGTTGATTAAGTTGGCTTGAACTTATTTGAGTGCAGAAGGTTTCAAAGTTGAACCATTCTCCATTGGTTTGTGTTTTTTTTATCAGAAGGCCCTCTGTGAAATATGCATGATGTCCTCCTAGAGAGACTTGACTCTCAAATGTTTTTATATGACTTTACTGAAATGAAGCCAGGATTGCAAATAACTGGATTCTTTTCTCTCTTAGGTTTTCATTCTAACTGATGGCTGCCCATTTGTCCGAAATGGTCTAGGGTTCCTTCCAGCTCTGTTGTAATAATAAGATAAGATAAGATAAGATAAGATAAGATAAGATGATAAGATAAGATAAGATAAGATAAGATGAGATGAGATGAGATGAGATGAGATGAGATGAGATGAGATGAGATGAGATAAGATAAGATAAGATAAGATAAGATAAGATAAGATAAGATAAGATAAGATAAGATAAGATAAGATAAGATAAGATAAGATAAGATAAGATAAGATAAGATAAGATAAGATTAGATAAGATAAGATAAGATAAGATAAGATAAGATAAGAATAATAGTAAAGTTGGAAGGGACCTTGAAGGTCATCTAGTCCAACCCCCTGCTCAGGCAGGAAACCCTATACCATTTCGGACAAATAGCTGTCCAGTCTCTTTTTAAAAACTTCCAGTGTTGGAGCATTCACAGCTTCTGGAGGCAGATTGTTCCACTGCATCCTAGTGGATTGTTCCACTAGGATAGGATAGGATAGGATAGGGTAGGGTAGGGTAGGGTAGGGTAGGGTAAGGTAAGATGAGATAAGATAAGATAAGATAAGATAAGATAAGATAAGATAAGATAAGATAAGATAAGATAAGATAAGATAAGATAACCTTTATTGTCACTTTTTTACTGTGGGCACAACGGCACGTATCAAAAATGAAATTTAGTTGCTCCCTCTCAAAGTGAAACACATACATGACACACACCTAAAACATACTATGTACAACATATGTTTAGACCCACATCCCTACATATACGTAGCAAATAAATATTAAATACTGTCCATCTTGAGTATATAACGGAAGGAGGAAGCTTGAGAGTTCACAAGGTTAATGCTGTATGGAATGAAACTATGGCTGAACAACAGTTATTCTGATATAATAATAATAATAATAATAATAATAATAATAATAATAATAATAATAATAATAATAGTAAGGTTGGAAGGGACCTTGAAGGTCATCTAGTCCAACCCCCTGCTCAGGCAGGAAACCCTATACCATTTCGGACAAATGGCTGATCCAGTCTCTTCTTAAAAACTTCCAGTGTTGGAGCATTCACCGCTTCTGGAGGCAGGTTGTTCCACTGATTAATTGTTCTGACTGTCAGAAAATTCCTCCTTAGTTCTAGGTTGCTTCTCTCCTTGGTTAATTTCCATCCGTTGCTTCTTGTCCTGCCCTCAGGCACTTTGGAGAATAGCTCTTCTTTGGGGCAGCCCCTGAGATATTGGAACACTGCTATCATGTACCCCCTCGTCCTTCTCTTTGTCTCTTTGTCTCTTCAAAGTCTTCTAGGGCAGAGGTCCCCAACTTTTTGGGCACCAGGGACCGGTTCCGTAGAGAAAGATTTTTTCCGCGGACTGGAGAGTGCGTGGTTTTGTGTGCTGCCTGAATCCCACGGATGGGGCTTTGCTTGTTTGCGGACCAATTGCTGGCATGCTGGGGTCCGGTACCGGTCCATGGACCGGGGATTGGGAACCCCTGTTCTAGGGGGTTGGAAACAGCTTACTCCTTTGCTTCCCACATACATCTATCTCCTATATGTCCTTCCCCTTCCTTGTCCCTGATATCCACAAGCTTTTTCATGAGCTCATTAGCTCTGCACTGCAACGGTTCATTATTCTCCTCCTTCGTTGTTTTTTTTCCTGAAAGATTCTTGGGTGGTAGTGGTGGTGATGGAAAATGTTTGGAAAATGAATAAATTCTTGGACCCTGCCCCCATCACCACTGCAGGGCACCTGGTAGTCTTCCATACCCTCCCGTCTTCCCACCCCCAAAGAGAAGTGACTAATGGTTAAAAAAAGAATAGATACCCCATGATCATTACGTTGAAGTGTTGAGCGAGTAGGTCAGTGAATTTGACAAGAGGAAAGAAAGTCATTCCCCCTGGGATCATTAGCCGTATTTTAGAGAACAGACTCTGTAATTGCTATGGTAATTGGGCTCTGGAATTGCCACCGAGAGCGTGTCGGTTATTTTTAATGTTAATTTCTGCGCAAGGGCAAGAACCAGAACGTTACTTTCATGAGGTGGTGTGTTGCAGGAAATGTCAAAGGGGCCTCGATGAATCTGATCCGAAACTCACCTGGTCTATTAAACTGTCACAATCCCAGCCAGGGGTTACACGTTCCAGTTAACCCCGAGGGCTATTTCTCACGAATGGATTGATCCTTTGACTTCTCCCTTGCAATTCAGCTTGGGATCAAGAAGGATTATCAGCCAATATCTGGGGGGGGGGGGACGGTGACCTCTTGGGGAAGAGGTCGCATCTGAGATGGCTAGGAAGGAGAGGAATGGCCTTGCGTGGTTGAGATGGCGGTGAAAGTAAAGCTCATGGACGGATGGAAGAAGGAAGCTAAGATGTTCCTCACCAGGAGAAGATCTTAGACCTCTTTTTTTCTCCGCAGGTGCAAACAGATGTCCTATCCTGAGGACCTTCCCCAAATCTCAGTGGTCTTTATTTTTGTAAACGAAGCCTTGTCTGTCATCCTACGCTCAGTTCACAGCGTTGTGAATCACACGCCATCCCACTTGCTCAAGGAGGTCATTCTGGTGGACGACAACAGCGATAATGGTAATTGTTCACAATAGAACAGAATAGAACAGAACAGAATAGAGTAGAGTAGAATTCAGAATGAATAGAATAGAATAGAATATAGAGTAGAGTAGAATTCAGAATGAATAGAATAGAATAGAATAGAATAGAATAGAATAGAATAGAATATAGAATAAGAATAGAATAGAATAGAATAGGATAGGATAGGATAGGATATGGAATAGAATAGAATAGAATAGAATAGAATAGAATAGAATAGAATAGAATAGAATAGAATAGAATAGAAGCTGGAAGGGACCTTGGAGGTCTTCTAGTCCAGCCCCCTGCTCAAGCAGGACAATACCGGCTTGTTTGTTTGTGTTTCTGACTCTGTTAGACCTGGATTGTCTATCATGAAAGAAAGCAATTTGGGATGAGATGGGGAAAGGAAGGGCTGAATCGGATGTTCTTACTGATTTCTTTATACAGAGAGTCCTCGACTTACAACCGCAACTGAGCTCAAAATTTCTGCCGCTAACCGAGACGTTTTTTTAAACTGAGTTTTGCCCCATGTTACAACCTTTCTTGTCACAACTGTAAAGTGTGATCACTGCAATTGTTAGGTTAGTAACACGGCTGTTAAGTGAGTCTAGTTTCCCCCATTGACTGCTTGTCAGAAGGTCGCCAAAGGGGATCACGTGATACCGCAACTGTCATAAGTACATGCCAGTTGCCAAGCATTTGGATGTCGATCACGTGACTCTGGGGAGGCTGCAATGGTCCTTAGTGTGAAAAACAGTCATACGTCACTTTTTTCAGTGCTGTTGTAACTTCGAACAGTCAGTAAACAAGGACTAGCTGTACACCACGATTACGTAGAGTTGCCACTGCGTGCTGAATGAATAACGTTGTCTCTTTTCCTATCTGCAGTTGAGCTGAAGTTTAACTTGGACCAATATGTCCACAAAAGGTACCCAGGTTTGGTGAAAATAGTGCGCAATAATAAACGAGAAGGCTTGATCCGAGCAAGAATCCAAGGATGGAAAGCTTCAACGTCCCCAATCGTTGGTTTTTTCGACGCTCACGTTGAATTCAACACCGGCTGGTAAGACATCACGCTAGTTGGCAAGCTCTCTGAAATTTTCAGCTGATGTAAGCTGAAGAATTGAGAAAAAAAAATGAGGAAAAGCAATGAGTCGCACCCTACAGATCCCCCAAAACCCATCTCTTGCAACCCATATTTCTTTCACAAAGGAATTTATTCTTGACTTGCTTATTTACCTAACTTCGTTATCTAGCTTACAGCGTTTAAGCTAGCCACTGCAATTTCGTCGGTTATTCCCTGGTCACTCCTTTTTATACTTTGTAATTTTACGCTAGTAATCTTCTATTTTCTTGTATAAATATATTTTATTCCTCCTACTTCTCTGGTTGAAAAACAAAAAACAAAAACAAAAGAACACCCCAAAGCTTATTTTTAAGAGTTGTTAGGGGGGAAAAAAAACATCATTAATGTATTTCAGAAGTAGGGTTTTGAGATTACGCTTTAGGACCGATAGTATTTTTGAATAAGAAATTCATTAGACTCTTTTATAAACAAACCAAACAGGCAGAGATTTTCCTCTAATGGGCAATCAATAAAAGACCTTGAGATGACAATTTTATAATAATAACATCGCTGGAAAGGATCTCTTCAAACCCGGCTAATGTGCTCTGTCGTGATAATTTCATGCCAATTAAAGATAATCTTGCTCAAACTTCCCATCCCATCAGATATTTGTCTGCTAGGAAAGGCTGTTTGCAGCATCCATCATATGGATACTTGTTGTTGTTGTTAGTTGCGTAGTCGTGTCCAACCCATCGTGACCCCGTGGACAATGTTCCTCCAGGCCTTCCTGTCCTCTACCATCTTCTGGAGTCCATTTAAGCTCACGCATACTGCTTCAGTGACTCCATCCAGCCACCTCCTTCTCTGTCGTCCCTTTCTTCTTCTCTTGCCCTCAATCTTTCCCAGCATCAGGCTCTTCTCCAGGGAGTCCTTCCTTCTCATTAGGTTACTTGGCGAATACCCAAACTTTCAATTGGAGCAACACTAAAATCATCGGTCAGGCTACCACCCATCACGCTCATGAGTTCATCAAGGGCTGGCCCTCCACAAGCAATTCCATCAACGGACACATCGGCCTACAACTAGCCTATGAACCCCTCAGGATCCAAATCAACCGCACAGCCAACCGGAGACGGCATCGATCCTGAAGCATCCCGCACAAGCCCCCACTCCCACTAGGCAGTTCACCTTCCAATGATCCCGATCTGATGTAACCTCCCCACCACAAGACCCATCACCAGCCTCTCACTGATGACTCACACCTGACCCATCACAAGACCCTCACTCGACACAGCCACACTGGAAGACCTTATCAACAGAAGGACACAGGCACGGACATCCGTGGAGATGTCACCTAGCCTGGTAACGCAACGTTCGGAAAACAACCCACAAGCTGGGAGAATGGAACTTCACCCTCATCCTACACCCGAGTTACAGATATTTGCCACTGTTGCAAACCCAAACTTCTTTCACACTAGCTGTGTTATGAAAGCATCTATCAAGTCCTCTCAATGGTCCAGATCCATCTAGTGGCCCAGAAAGTGAAATTGAGGAGGATGGGTTTTACTGGGGCTGCCCTCAGTCAGATCCATTCGGTGTTTGCTTTTATTTATTAAATTTATAAGCCGCTCATCGAAGTGGGTTACTTAAAGAGGGAGAGCACACTTGAAGAAGTTAAGAGGGACAAGTCCTGGTTGCCCTCCGTCCTCAGAGGTGACCTCGGGATCTGAAGCTCTGGGCAAGATACAGAGCCAGTTTGGTCCAGTGGTTAAGGCACTAGACTAGAAAGCAGGGGGCTGTGAGTTCAAGTCCCACCTTAGCCATGAAAGCCAGCTAGATGAGTTTGGGCCAATCATCAGGAGACAGTGAGTTCTAGTCCTGCCCTTGGGAAAGCCAACTGGGTGACGGGTGGCCAATCCCCTGGAGAATGTGAGCTGTAGCTTCCCCTTAGCCATAAAAGCCAGCTGAGTGGACCAATCACACTCGTTCAGCCCAACTGGGCTGTCGTTGTGCAGAAAATAATAATAAGGAGAGCATTGTTTGCATCCCGCCTTAAGTTATTTATAAAAAATAACAAAGGCAGGAGACAAATAAATAATAAAACGTTGAAATGCATCGGGGTACAAACACCAACCCCTTTCCGAGGGAGCATGAAATGACATGATGCTTCCAAACAGATGTCTCTGTCTACCCTTGGACATATCCAATGTCAAGTGAATCTGGCTTCCCCATGGACTTGGCTTGCCAGATGTTCGCCAAAGGGGATCACGTGACACCCCTCCTGGACACCGCAACCGTCCTAAGTACACGCCAGTTGCCAAGTCTCTGAATTTTGATGATCTGACCCCAGGGATGCCGCGAGTTTGAAAAACGGTCATAGGTTCCTGTTTTCAGTGCCATTGTAACTTCAAGCTGTCACTCAACAAACTGCTGTAAGTCAAGGACTACCTGTACAGAGCAGCGATTCCTTTTCTCCTTCTAGTGAACCAGATGCCTTTTTTATTGGAAACTGCATAAACAGAACGGGAGTATTTATGGTGTTGCTATGGAGCTGTGTAAAGGATGTGAAGAGAAGGACGCTCTTTCTGGCCTTAGAGGGCTACAGTTATAATGAGAGAGAGAGACAGAGAGAGAGAGAGAGACAGAGAGAGAGAGAGAGAGAGA